CTTAATTTTAAATTGTTGTTTTTTTACATTTGATATTCAAATTGACTCCATGAGAGCTAATATTATGACGTATGATAATAATACGCAGATCTTTATATTCGTTAATATAAATTATATAAATGCTCTGAAACATGTGTGCCTCATGTATGTTCTGTAGGCCTATGTAGGGAACCCAATAGAGTTTGCGATAGACATCAAATAACATGGTTGACTTGTTTCGGAATTTAAAAATAACTCATTTTTACGAATATACAGAAATATCAGCCCATGACATAATCATAATTATGCTGTTTTGACATTTTTCATAAAATAAATGTAATTAGTCTAAAAACATGTAGGTCTAAGTATAAACCACAAAAGGTCGAGTCTCGAGTCCTGGTTGGGGCAACATGAATAACTATAACTAAACTGTAGTAAGGTATAGAATAGTGTGAGATAGTTAATTAACAAAGGATGACTCGAGAGCAAAAGTCAAGTAGGCTTGACCAAACCACCAGTTATATCAATCCAAATTAATAATATATATTATCACATGTAAAATATAACATATATAATATATACACAAACAAAATAATATTATTATCTATTTTCTTAAGAGAAACACCCAAAACGTCAGAATGCTATCAATAAATAATAATGAAACGAAGGAACATGAATCCAAATAAGAAATAAAATTTCACCAAGATTTAAACACAAAATCTGAGATATCTATACTTCTATAGTTGTCTTAGACAAAATGTATACTTATTACCACCATACAATGAATTTTTTTATTTTAACCTGGCTGAAATACGTTTGATTACGGTACTGCCAAACATATAGGCCTAGAGCTAAAATCGATTCCAAGAATCATAACATTATATACAGAAGATTATTCCTTGCATTGGTAACTTACCTTGATTGCGCATTTTCTTATGGAACTATTCTCTACTTTAAGACAGAAATCCTTATCTGTAAATGGATCTTTGAATAGTGATTTTGAACTATAATGAAGTCGTTAGCGCGTGTGATCGGATTTAGAAAAAAAGTCCCTTTCATCTTATATAATTAACTGGTCTGCTGGGATCAATGTATTGTGATAAGAGGATCTTCATCCAGCCAGTTACATCGAAAAAGCACAGTTCATATATATTGTTCATTATTATTATTACTATTATTATTATTATTATTATTATTATTATTATTATTATTATTATTATTATTATTATTATTATTATTATTATTATTATTATTATACCTTAATTGTTTTACTTTATTGGGAAATATACATAACTATTCTACCAGATCAAGTTCTACTGGTAATTTACTTTTACCAAAGGCTAAAACTGAATCTGGTAGAGGAAGATTTTTATTTAGGGGTGCTGTTGTTTGAAACTCTAAGGACTAGGAATTTTATCTATATATATATATATTTATATTACATTTTTATTGGTATTTTTAACTTTTTATTGTTAGGAGAGTTTGTCGTATTTTCTAATATTTTATCTGTGTTGTATACTGGGCACTCTGGAAGAACAGTCTTTTTTACTGAAGAGTTTACCCATTATAAAGAACAAAATTAAATAAATAAATAAAAACAATTATTATTATTATACATAGGCATATAGGCATATATATATATATATATATATATGTATGTATGTATGTCTAAATATATGTATTACACGTCTATGTCTAATATTTAGTTAGTTCACTGCACTTTTCGAATCGAAATGACAATAAATGGAGATTTAACCACAGTGAGAGGAAGAGTAAGCTAAATTGTACGCTTAGACCAATGGCCGACACCTGTATTTCCTGTTAAACCTTGGAGAAAGCAGCAGGCTCCTTCGATCACTTGAGTTTGACAATTTGACTTTGCGGAGTTAAACACTACTTAGACCTAGATGCTGGTCATGAATAGGATAACTAGTTATATAGAACCAGGCACCTAAATCCAAAGAGGCATTCTGTATCTTAGTATCTCAGTCGCACTAAGATAATAGATGAATCAGTGTGTTAATGATACTTCAAGGGCTTGATTGGCGGAAATTAGTCTTCAAAAGTTGAGTGGACATTACCGACAATAGACTATTGTGCATAGAGTACAATGATATGTTTTCAAGAGATGGGGTACCAGTCAAAATAGGGGTACTTAAAAAATACCATGTGTTTTTTGCCTTTGAGGAAACCCAGATGGTTGGTAGAAGACGATTCATTGTCGTCGTGCAGGTTGATGAATTACACTTTTTTTAATAGGACTAAATCTAAGACTAACGGGTAGTTTGCTATTTATGTTAAAGGTGATCGATATTTTTCTGCCAGTAAATAATTTGTAATATAGTACATACTGTAATCTAATCACTAATTAGTTTAATTACTTCTTTATCTTTAAAACGGTAAAATGACCCCGGTAAAAATGGCATCAAGTAAAGATGTAAGTAGGG